ATTTCTAAAAAAAAAAAAAATTTAATATTTAATAATTACTTCAAATCAAAAAAACAATTTGATATAAATAATTGTGCAATTTTATTATTTATTTCAATAAAAAAAAAAAGTATCGAATGTAAATCAATCAAAAGTCAATGTTAACAAATTATTTCAAATATTCGTTTTTCGAAACAGTGCCAAAATTATCAAATTATAACATCTCGAATTGCCAACGTTGCTAAAGATTTCTTAAATTACTTATATATAACGTATGCATTATTCCTTCTTTCAATGTTATTACAAGCAAAGTTAAAGGCAATTTTACAAATTAATTTAAAGTCAATTTTAACTTTTTTTATTAGAATCAAATTTTTTTAATAAATAAAGCTTAATAAATCCATTAAGGAATAATTTGAAACGTGCTTAAAAAATCAGAATAATGTTTCAAAACTTTAATTTCAAATAATAGTCGCTCATGGTTCTACTGAAAAAGGATCTATGACACCATTAAATTGCCGAGGTATGACCTAGCAAACTTAGTACAGCTAAAAGATCCATACTTACATCTTTGGATGGGAGTTTCAATTATATTAGAGTTCGAATAAACAACATATGTTATATTAAATAAATATTATATTGGATAAATACAATTCATTATAGATCAAAATACCTGATGCATTGATGTCATCACATTGACAATTAATTTTTTAAATTCTTTAGAACGAGGTGGTGACCATTCGACCACACGAGCAAATCAAATTTTTTTTGGGCGATCATTGAATAATTCATAATTGTCTCTTCTAAAAGATTTTCTATCGGGTTTAGGTCAGGAGTATTAGAAGGCCAGTTAATAACTTCCGGCATATTATCTGAAGAAGGAAGATTCTAGCAAGGCGGCTAGTGTTTCAGGTCATTATCTTGCTGAAACCGTCCTGCATAACCTAACAATCATGTTCATGCGCAGTTTAATTTCACAGAAATTTTTTTGGTGGTTTTTTGTCCTACACTGTAACTGACATCCATGACTAGAAATTTCAGATTTTTTCTGGTAATAAATTTTAACTGTTATGACTCAAAATGAGAAGCGACTTAATGAATATGTTAGTTAACTATTTATTAATATTTATTCCTAATAATAATGATATTACTTACCATGCTTTTAATGAATTATTATAAATTATATGAAAACGCATCCAGATAAAAGATTTCCTTCTGCGGAATTAAGTAAGCTGTTTTCTATAAAACAGATTACTTTAAACGAAAGCAGATATACCATCAAGTTAATTAAATACTTCTTATTCTTATAAAGAGAATTAATTAATTTATTAACAACCTCCTACAACATAAACATAGTTGGTGGAACAAACTTGATTCTCTTCGTAAGTAAATTGTACCTTAATTACTCCTTTTTTTTTAAAATAAAAGGAAGTTGAATAACTTCTTTCATTTTGTTTAGTCAGTAAAGGACCATTCAGATAATGAGGAGGATTTTATTGCATCATAAAGCGCGTTCGATCATTCAATGGAACTTACAAACTGAAATGACCAAATGCGGTAAATTCCGATCGCGCAATTAACTTAAAAACTTTTTGGTTTTCTAAACAATGATACGTTCAATTATGGCCATTAGAAAAATCTGGAATTTCTTTTATTTTAAATTGACATCTTTACATTCATTATCTTTTAATTTACCTTTTAAATGAAATTGTTATTATATTTAAATTTATCCAACGTTTTTAGGTAAATCATTCTTTTTCTGTCTTTTTCACTATATTTTACATGAAAAGCAATTTCAAGGTGTAATTTTTTTAATATATTATATAGAATTTAGCGATCTAGTAATTACTACAACTCCGAAATAATTTAATAATACCAATATAAATTTTTATGATTTCCGCAATGTAGTTAGTGTGCAAATTTTGATCTTTCGGAATCAAAGTCGGAAAATCGCCAAAGTCGAAAGTCGATTGTAATAACGATTTTGAATCTCATCTCAAACTCGGGCATGATAACAACTTTAAATCGATTCGATTTTCATTAGTCCGATTAATCGTCGGCAAAAATCGGTTACACAAAATCGTTTCTACTAGAAAATTAACTCAGAATCTGAAATTCAGTCTTTTAAATAATTAAGTGAATTAACTAAATTTAATTTTGAGATAATAATCTAACAATTTGTTAATATTGTAAAATAGTAACGTTGAAAAAAAAAAGTTTTAAAATCGGAAAAAAAAAAATCTCCCGACAAAACGTCATGTGATAGACACAGAGTAAAACAGAAATTTTGATTAATTTGTTTTTAAACATCTTTAACTTTTATTTCTAATAAATAAATATTATAAATGAAGCTTTAAAATTGTGTTATAAATTTTTACAACTGTTCTATACTTAAAAATTAAAAAAATTAACACCGTTTTTGCCGATTCGATTTTGATTTTTGTAACGATTCCAATCCCTAGACGTATTATTAAATAGAACAATTACTATATATTTAACCAAAAACAAAAGTCGAGGAATTAGACTTTGGAATCTATTAAGAAAGTAATTACAAAAGTATAAAAAACGATTTCGGTGTTACTAATAAAAAGGAACTACACACTAAATTTCTATGGCGTATAGAATATTAAAAAAAAAAATATAAGAAAAATATGATCATAGTTATTATCCGAATGATGCTTCTGCATTGGTTATTATCCTGTTAGGAATGTTCATACAGGCTTTGACACTTCTGAAATTTTTTCTTTTTCTTATTATTATACACATTAAGTTGTGTAGCACAAAATCTACTTTTATTTTTTTTAATGTTTGAAAAATTCATAAAACCGTTACAAAATTAATATAAATAATAAAATAAGATTGATAGAAATTTCAAGAATGGGTAAAAACGTAAACATGTTACATTTGAATCATAATTTTCATTCTCATGAGTTATTTTCCGTTGCATTATCATAAATAATGTAAATAATGTATAACATTATTAATTGTTTTCTGAATATTGATTTTTATAACAAAAACTCATGATACTTCAAACTAAAAATATAAAGAGATTAGAGATTGCGTAGTTAAAGAATTCATTCAGATATAACATTCTGAAATAAGAATATTTTAGAGGAATTTGTTTATAATTCTATATTGTTTTAATATATTCTTAAAACGTCCAAATTTTTATAGAAAATTAACCATATATATACAAAACATTTGATTGAAGTTTTATTTTACTCGCGATGGAAAAAAAATCTTATTCGCATGCTATCAGCACCTAACTCAACGGTCCACCAATGATTGACGGCTTCGGCCCGAAGCGAGTGAATAAAAAAGCTAAAGAAAAGAAAAATAAGAAATCTAAACGCGATAATAATAAAAATGATAATATAAAATACATATCGCACACGAAATATGATGTTAAAAAAAGCCGAAATAATTTAATTTATAATTTTTTTAAATTACGCTGCGCTTATGACAAATACATTTTGTTCAAGAAACTTTACAGTTTTAAGATTTTTGAAATTAATGACGAATTTACACAACCTAATTATTTATGTATTTCAAATTTTACCTCGTACAAAAAAAAAAAAGGTTCAAAGTATTGTAATTATTAAGTAATTTAGTTGAAGAAATCATATCGTACAATTTGCATGCATGGCTTAAGGGAAGAGAGTCTTTCATGTTTTTAATTATTTCCTTCTTTTTTCATTTTTTTTATTTCATAACTTTATGCTTGAAAAACTTTAGCCGAGCATAAAAAATTATTTAGATTCTAAAAAATAAAAAGATCTTAATAATATTCAAAAATTACGAAAACAAAAAATAGCTAAGATTGCGTTATAACACAACCGTTTGATTTTGATTCTTTAATAATAAACGTTATAAAAAAATTTAAATAAAAAAATATTCTGGAAAATTTAACATGACCGGATTATTGGAATCTAAAAATTTTATGTGTCATGTCTTCTAAATAACTTCTATTTTTTAAAGAAATAAACAATGATTTATTTTTATCAATATTATTATATATCAGTCACAAAAATAATACGAAATGCGATTTACAATTAGCGCCAAGAGAATGCAAATATATTAAACATAATAGAAATCAAAGAGAATACTAAATAGTTATTCAATAAAAATCGTAATTACATCAAGCATAAATTATCAAACTTGAGATTTTTTGAAGGGTAAGAGGAGAGGCGGTAAGGGATTGGAAGGGTTAACGTAAACTTAGACACGACGACCTCTGACTATTGATAATACAATCCTAACAGTTCAACGATAACAACCAATTTTTTGCTGCACTTTTAATAATATTCCAGAGACGCCATTTCTAATATATTTAGTAAAATATAAATATACAGTATATAATTATATCATTAATGCAATTCTTTCTTTCTTTCTCACTATGTTTTTTCTGATAAAACAAAATTTATTATAATTCAATCTAGGCTTGCTAATAAGTTTCTCGTGTCAAATAATAAAGTGTTGACTTTCGAGTCATGTTGTGGAGTATTACGTGATCAAAGAAATTCTAACTTAGCTTCTTTAAAAGTGATCTATATCATCAACAAAAAATCTAAATGTCTTTAAGGTTTGTTGAATTTCGATTATTCAAACTTCTTTAAAAGTGTTGAATTTCGATTGAATTCTTTCAATATCGTATTGCCTAACCAAACATTTTGAAGTTGGTGTTATTATACCAATAAGAACTTGTAAAAGTTGTTTGAAAGATAAGTAATGATGAGAAGTTGCATGGTTTTCTAAATATTTATTTTGATTTTTACAGGGAAAAAAAAATCCGGCTTTTTAAGGAAGAAGATCATCGCTTGAACAATTGGAAAAAAAAAGTATTGTATGATTGATATTAAATACAAATTAGAATCCCAACAATTATCTTACATTTTGTTGTTGCATGTCATGAAATTTGAAGGGTATTATTCAGAATCAGAATCAGTCTGAGATCACTCAATAAAATAATTTATATTCATTCTTCAACTCTAATTTGCCTAATAAAATACATGTATCAAAAAATGAACAACGATTATTCTTGGGATGAAAGAATAGACGATTTTATGTCCATTTTTCATAACGACTCCGTTCCAACAAAAAAGATATTCTTAAACTTATCTTTTTTATCAACCCTAGTCATTATATTTTTTTTAGAAAATGGAGAAGAAAATATCACAAAACAAGATGATATTTTCACAGAAATTAAAGTTCGATCGAAACATCTTATTAGCCAAGAAATCATTGATACAAAAATTGATGAACAAATAAGAAATTTTCAACCTATTAAAGAATTACTTTTAGAATATTTAGTCACTCAAAAAGATAAAAGATCCATTCTCATAACAAACCTTGTTAAAGAATGTAATTTATTTTTCGAAAATCTATTGAAAAGTGAAAATATATTTCACCTAATCCCTTTCACAATCACTTTTGCGATCGTGCATCTTACCGTTATGAGAACATCATTGAAATTAAATACGGTAATTATAATTTCCTATTTCAGAAAATTTTTATTCAATTTTTTATTATCATTATTTATATTTTTGTTTAAAAAGTCAAGCGTTGATGAGGTTAAGGAAATTATTTCTCGTTATCAAAGTCATTTTAAGGATTCTTTTCATCAATTCTTTACGTGGAGGATGGATCAAATAACAACAAAAACCACGATTTCTAATGATTCATCTTCATCATCGCTCTTTACATTTCGTGCTAATGGGGAAGTCAGAGATACAATTAGCAATAAACTAGTTAATTATGTTGCCAAATCTTCAAATGATCAAATTTTTTTAAAGGTCTTTGATCTTATCAAGTTAAGAATGCTTAATGAAACAAAGACAGAATTTATGAAAATGTTTTTACATATCTTTTCATTAGTCAACTCCTTTCCTGATATAGAATCTTTGCATATAATGTCTTGGCCTCTTAATGTAAGAAGTTTTTGGGTTGGGCCATACGGAATTGATACGTTTCCTGATGGTTTACATAATTTGGAAGATAATTCTAAATTATTTTACAATATATTTGACGATGATCCTGGCATTATCAGAAAGATTGTGGTGAGACATTATGGTATAATTGATCGCATTCAGGCTTATTATGACGATGATGATCCGGATAATGAAAATTATAGAGCTGGAAAAAGCATTGGAACAGGAACGGGTGGTTCGGAATGTATAATTTCAGATCTGGATAACTTTTCAAAATATGTTGTTGCTATAAATATAACATTTGGTTATGGATTACTTGCTGCTATAGAATTTACTTTTAATAATGGTAAATCCACGGGAATTTTAGGACGAGTGCCAAAGAAACAAAAGATAGGAACTTTACAAATTGGTCCATTTGGAAAATATAATGAATTTAGACTATCAGGAATATCTGGAGGTGGAGGAAAGGTGATAAGGGATAATGAAGATTTTGGTGAAAATGCCGCTCATATAGCATTTCAATTTCAATATGTCGATTCACTTTGAACTTGTTTTATCAAAATTAATAAACAGGTAAGGTATACAAAGTAGTGACTGATAAACCACTATATGAACTCCTCCTCCCTTCAAATATTATGTTGAATTTGAAATAGTCGAGGAGTTTAACGTGTGTATCATCTGCATTTTTGTTAGTCCAGAGCGAAGCGAGACTATATAGGGCTTCGCACCATTAAATAAAGTCAGATAATGCTTTTCTATTTGCGAAGCTCTATGTTTACCTCGAAAAAGTCAACGTCGGAATTTTGCCGCAGTACTCATATCAAGCATGACAATTTTAGCAGCGATGTTTTACTTAGCGATTTTATCAAACATGTAAACGGAGTCTTCTTTCGACATTTTATTATTTCTTTACTTTTAATATAGTTTATTTATTTTTTCTTATTTGTATTATTATGTTTATTACATTTTATTATTGCATAAATGCATAGACATTATTTAGTATATATATGCTTGAAATTTAATTACAAATGTACAGTCCGATTGTGAAAAGTCTTACGGACTTTTAATATTAAATAAAAACACTTTCGAACCTTCCTCTTGTCTTCATATAGGCTCCGCTTGTGATAACTAAACTACACAATTGAATCGTAAAATAAATAGTTATTAGTTGATATTCCTTGGGAAAGGCCTCCGGGATGCCGCATTGCTTGTTCGTTACTTTGGTTTCAGTATAATCCCAGGCGTAACAACGGTAACATAGGATGTACTAATATCCAGCGATAGTGATCGGGTCATTTGACTAATTATCAAATGACCCGAAGTCATCCTAAAATGACCGGTTTTTCCGTTTCATTTAGAATCAAGTCATTTGCAAACCCAATGTTCTAGATCTTTTGCCATTTGAAATAATTAGGTCATTTGATCATTGTGTTTATAATTTTAAAAAATTTCGTACATATTCCGTATCTGCACATTTATTAACACAATAAAATATATTTTTTTTCCTCTGTACTTTATTTTTTTGAAATAATAGTTTTTGGACTAAGTTTATTTAAATGGTAGCATTTTTTTAGAGTTATTTTTATTATTTCTAAAGGCGAAACTTTAATTTGAGAAGCATATGATAATATGATCAATGATCAAAAACAGAAGATGTAGAATTTCTTATTAACTATATATTTATTTTGCTAGTGAATATGTTATGTTGCTGCAAGGCAAGTATTATATAGCGTTTATAATTATTTAATTAAAATGATTAAAATATTAATATTAATAATAATTATAACGATGACTAAGGGTGGAATATCCTAATAAAATTTTTCTACCCATTAAATGAATTTAATTGTAGAGAGAATCTGTAACTTAAAAAATTATCTAAAAATGTTGTAACACATTGTCAGCTATTTTCATTCAATAGCATATTTTACTAAATTATTAAAAAGAGCAAAGATCATGTTATAATCAAACTATTTCTGTTATTACTCTGGATGAGATTTTTATTAATAGTTTTTATTTTATTTTTTTAATTTTATATTAAAAATAGAATTTGTACGCAAAGTAATTATTTTCTTTAAAGTTTAAAATTTTTTTAATCTAATTTGTTTAATAGACATTAGTTACAAAAATTTCACTATAAAAAGTTAAATCAGCTGCAATCCTAATATAAAATGGAACTTATAATCCTAAAAACTCACAAATTAAAATCAAATAAGAATGATAATGTATTGTTCTATTAGAATGATGAAATAATTGTTCTTCTTGAATAATAATATATTATTCTATTAAAAAGATGAAAATATCATTTAGCCTGAATGATAATAAAATCATTCAATTAAAATGATAAAATAATCATTCAATTAAATTAGAATAATGAATAAATTATTTAAGAAGAATGTTCAACTGTTCAACTAAAATAATAAAATATTTATTCTTCTTAAATACTAATGTATCATTTTATTAAAATGATTAAAAATTGTTCTTCTTATAAAATGTTACATTATTCAATAATATAGATTATATTTTGAATCTTGCTTTATATTAAGCTAAAGAATCTGTATTTTGTTAAATCAGTTTCAATATATCATTAATATTACTATTGCAATAAATGACAATATTAACAAATTTTCTATTTTTTATGATTCAAGTAATTCCATTATAATTGTAAAATATATATATATATCTCCTTATATATTTATATAATATAATAAATCAGATATAAGTTTTGTATATTTATATATCAATTCTATTAATATATAAAGATTTTCTATAATATTAGTATTGATTTTAATAAATTTTTTAATATAATAATATTTATATCATCATCATACTAATCATCATTTATTAGATATATATTTTTTAGTTGACTATTACTAGTAAAATATTGTCATATTTTTAAGTCTACAAAATTATTGGATGATAAATATAAAGAATTTTATCTTGTAAGAATATCTATTTCTAAAATAAGAAAAGGTTAATTTTTTATTTTAAATATTTTTTAAGTTTTTCAATAAGTGTAATAAATCCTGAATTTTATAAGCAAATTTTCTAGTTTATTTAATTGATTTATTAATTAATTAATTTAATACCTTCTTATATTGCTATATTTAAAATATGAATTATACATCAAAATATATAAATTTTATATTATTACAATAATCTATAAATAGTATACTTTTAAGATTTTATCTATATGCAATCGTATTAAAATATTATTTATTATAATAACCAATATTTTACTTTCTAAATTATATTCTTTTAAAGTATTAAAAATATTTTTAACAATAGCTATTCAAGTATATCTTTTATATATATATATGAAATCAAGAAGAATATTTTTATATAACTTTTTTATCATACTAAGATAATGTAACTGAAATATAAAATTGATTTATATATGCTGTTTATATATCTATTATAATAGATAGTTTTATTTTAATAATAATAATATGTTGCAAATAATTAACTTTTACTTATTAAAAATATTACCAATATATTTTGAAATGGCTTTCTTATTAATCTAGAATCCAGAATAAATAATAAAAATTTTGAAGATAAACATTTGTCATTGAAACTATTCATAATGCTGAATGTGACTTTTTATTTCAAAGATACTGCTTAACTAATAAAAAACAAGTATAATAAGGTTATCTTTAAAAACTTAAAAAAAAATTCAGCAAGCAAATTATGTTATATGTAAAATAATATTCAGTAGTTAGACTGATTTTATTCAAAAAGATAAAAATTATGAAAGATGTAAATAATCAAAAAAGTATTGTATGACTCGTATTGAACCAAATATCAAACATACAAGGTAGAATATTAATCTAAATTATAACTGGAGTTTATAAGACTTTTAAAATTCAAGTCAATACAAAATAATCGTAATTAATTATTATATCATAAAAAATTCAATATTTCCTATATTACACTTTCAAATATTTAGAATACTTTCCTATCATTAATTAATATATCATTTTAATTTCAAACTATGTAAAAATGTTTCAAATTATAGATATTATCAATTCAAAGTTCCATCAAGAAGTGACGGCTTTATAACCCAATCCTTATAATCCTTCATAGTTACAAATTGTTTAATTTCTTGCGTTAACACCTCTAAACAATCGCAAGGTAAACTTGATAAATATAAATCACAAACATCAATTTCATAAGCTAGACATTCTAAACCTTTCTTCTTAACAAATTCTTTTATAACCTCCAAAGTGGTATTTATACTATTTTTATTATAATTCCTGAATGACAATCTCCTGAAATTAACATGTTTACAATTTTCAAAAAAGGTTTCCAATTCTTTTGGTTCAAATTCAAGATTCAAGTCTAAATACGATAAATTATTTGGTAATAATTGACCCATTTCATTTAGAATTATTGAACTGACATTCGATTCATGGGAATATCTGGTATAAAAGTTACCAAATCTTAATTCTTCCTTGGTAAAATCTTCGAGAGTAAGATATTTAAGATGATCATTTAATAAAGTAATTAATCGAAATAATTGTGGTATATGACTATGTTCAATGGCGGTTAAATGAAAAAATTTAATCCTTTCGCAGTTTTGAATAATAGATTCAAAAAATTCTTCTATAAAGTATGGTTGATAAATTATTGTCAAAAATTCCAAATAAGAACCAATTTTGTGAATTAATAATTGAAAAGGGATAATATTAATGATAATATTATATTCAAGTAATAAGGTTTTGATCTTTAAAGGTATAAGAACATTTAACAAGGATTGAATAAATAGTTCAGGACCAACACAATGTTGAAACTCCAGGCATTTAATATGCGTTAAACGTTCCAAACCATTAAAGGATATTTCATTACTAAAAAAGATGGTATAAAAATTTATAGTTGTCAGAGTATTTGAACAAAATGGTAAATATTCTGTCAAATTATTTTTTTTACCACCATAAACACTTTGAATTTTTAATAGATCCTTTTGTGATTTGAATAAATTTTTAATCTCTTTTAAAAGTTGAATATAAATATCATATGGGATATTAAGTTCTAAATATTTGATAGATGTGCAAATCTTTGGTAAGTGGGATAAGAAATGTTGAAAAAGGATGGATTGCTCCAGGTATTCCTGGGTCACTATGTTGTTTTTTTCTAATCCTAACGTAAAATATTTAAGTTTTGAAAAGAAATTTTGATTATTTAAAATCAATTCATAAAACTCGCTCATATGTTGGTTTGGGTAACTAAATTTTATATTTAAATGCAACTTGTGTAAGGAAGCATCATATTTTATAAATGTCTTGAATAATAAAAAACTAATGAGATTTAATTTTTGCATCAAATCTGGATTTGATTTTGTTCTATTAAAGAGAATCTCTCGAAGTGTAAATATTTTTAAGACGGTCTTGACTTTAAATTCTACTTCGGTTGACGGATATTTGATTTCACAACCTCTTATATATTCAAAGATTTGAATATCACTGTATTTGTCTCCCATGTAAAAGGATGTGAAGTTATCAATCCAGACCATCAAATGCAAATCCATTTGATCCGAATTTAAAACCTTGATATAACTTGGATAATTAAACAAGGGAATCTTTAACGATTGTGAATAAATTCTATCGATTCCATTTTCTTTTAAAAGATTTTTATCATCATCGTTTAAATAGAAAAAATAAATGTCAAAAACATAAAGAATTGATTTATTGCTACTTATGTTTTTCGAGAAAGGATCTTTCCAAAGTAAAGGGATTGCGATACGACAAAAAAGTCGGTTTACTAGAATACACGAATGAAGTGACTTCAGGTCATTTCGTAAATTTAATAAAATTAGATTTGTTATTTCCGGTAAATCTCCAGAAAATAATTTTGAACGGTTCATTTTTTTTTAAAAAATTTTTTTATAAAAACAAAATGAAGGTGAAAAGGTTGTTGAATGAAGACTGTATCAAAGTTTAATGCAATAAAATAAATTCTGTGTAACAATTAGGTGTTTCAAATAAATTAATTTGCATATGTTTGATGATGATTTTTTTATCCAGTTGGATGATGATTTTCATCGTACTTTGTGAAACTGAATACGTTTTTTAGAGAATTTAATTTTAGTGATCAAGTTTTTATTACGCATTTTGGGTCATAGGACCCCATTATGGACAAGAAGTTCAACTTTAAAATATAAAATCATTGAATCGAATCGCAAATAATTTTAGTTCGGAATTCTTTGATATGTTGATGCCGATCATATTTTTTAAATTAGGTTGAATAATATTCAAATAGTTTGGATCATTGGTTTTCAGCGGAAATATTGTATTTTTAAGTTTTTATTAAATCATAAATGGATTTTATACGGTAATTATTATTAGTCGCTTATTTATGTCGATCGATAACATAATTTATTGCATTATAAGGATGGATGTCCCGAATTCATCAAGATTCGGATCAAGATTCCTATTATAACATCATTTAAAAGTTTAAAGAATGAATCCTTTTTTAGCTATCTAATTTTTCTTTTTTTTTTATGCAAAGGGTCAAAAAAATTATCGTTGGAATCTAAGAAAAAAAAAAATATTCACATGAATACATGCAACAAAATATTTTTTGTTATTATTTCTTTTTTAACATTAAGAAGTACAGTATGTTAAAAATTTAAGAATAGTAGGTTTCAAATTGAATATCAATTATTTTAAATATTTCGAATGTATAAAATCAAATCTTGTTTTCGAATTGAAAATCATTAAACGACATCGAAGTATCGAAAATCACGAAAATCATTTCGAATATCGAAAATAGTATTTATTTGTTATTATTTTTTTATGGCATTTTATTTTATTTTTCCTTTTTGGACCCTCTTTTGAGTTTAAGGTTATAATTGAAGAGGATAAAAAAATTTTTACTATATAAGGTAAATAAAAATGATTGACTTTCAGATCGAACATTTTATTTTATTTGTTTGTTATATTCGAATATTTAAGTAAATCAGTCAGCTATACTGTATATGACATGTAAAATTTGAATTTCGTAGATCATGAATAATTTGTTCAATTATTTTATGAAAAATGAAACATAAAATCCACAAAAACATTATATCTGATTCAAGGAGTTGTATGTTTAAATTTGTCACTTTCTATAATGTTGTGGAACTCGGCACAATGTTATAAAAGCGGTAAGATTACCTATTAACTCAAAATGAATGAACTTTACATTCATCGCAAAACTTTGCTATCTCCTAAATATTACCAATATGAAATCTTTATTTTTGACAATAAATTCATTTTGAGGTAATTTAAACTTATAGAACTATTTTCGCATCCTAATTGGTTTTTTATTATAAATATTTGCCGTGAGATATCTTCACCTATGACTCTCGTAAAACCTTGCGATGATGAGATGATTCCTGCTATATTATATAACATAAAAAGACGCGTAAAATTATATAATTATCAAAAAAAAAAAAAGGCTATGAGATACATTTTGAAGCAATAACTACGCACCTTTATTCATATGTATCTCTTTCAGCGGATTAATTTATATATTAAATAATTAATCGTTAAAGATTGCAACTAAAATGAGATAAGTTTAAATAGAATAATATAATGTCCCAACAATCTACAGTACATAACAAAAATGATACGAGATTGCAAGAGTGAAAGCATACCAACCTCTAAACTTTTGCCATAGTCAAAATAATAATTTCGCAACATAGTTATCCTAATTCCTTCTTGTTCAAATTAAACTCTTTCCAAAGATTATTGTGACAGACAGTTTTGTTAGTTTTAGCAGTTTTGCAATTTGACGAATTAACATAATTTTATTAGTACAACTCAGAATCAATAATCGTTATTTTTCTTTCTAAGAAATTCATATAAAATAGCTTTGATGACGTTGTTAGTGATAGTCTTGTTATGTATGGCAAGCCTCCATACTGCGCCAAACATCGTTTACGAATGATGATCACGAATCTTAACTTTCTATCATTTAATTGTTTATTACAATTGTTTTATTCCCAAAACTGTATTCTGGTTAACGACATATAGTTAGGATATTTGTCCAAATTGTCTCTGACCAATATCATTCGTACTGGATTTTAAGTAAGAGAGTTGTGATTTCGCTTGAGTAGAATATTATGTTCCTACCGCAAATTATTTACAATTATTAGACCTTCAACAAATGCTATCAAAGTTAATTTAGAAAAGAATTACAAGAATAATTATTCACCGGAGTTGTTATCAAAAATCGTTGATTTAATAGAAGATAGTTTATTTCTAAATCTACTAATTGAAGCAATATCATCTATCCCATTAGGAATATTGAATTTGTTTGCATCACTCTGATATCTTATATTTTGGAAAGGGAAAAACTCTTTGCTTCAGAATATGAAAATATTCAGTATAGCGGTATTTTAAACATGGCAGATTTCTTATGTTTCTATTAAAGCCCTTTTGAACCCGTGCTAATTGTAGAAAATGTAGAAGACAAAGGAAATTGATGATGAGCTTACCTTTGATTATCAAAAGTTTCTGAAGAAATGATATCCTCAACAAAATTTATTGACTTTAAGCGAATCAGTGGCAGAAATCATTGAGCCCAAAAAAACTTATTCCAAATGAAATTATCATAAGATACTGTAAAAATCATAAAGATTTAGGTGAGCATCATTATGTATAAAGCTTTATCCTGCTGATTTCCTGGTCAGATTTGAATTCAGCTTCATTAATCTTCAATTGAAGCATTTACTGTATATTAAATAAATTTATAAGAGATTATCTATATACATCACTCAATATAGATATTCCATAACAAATAGCAATTAGCAAACGGTCCTATTCATTGAATTTTCAAACTAATATTATTATATAATTTTTGAATGATTTACACATAATTCTGATCTTTTATGATTTATCAATAACCAATCATCATCTATACTATTGATTACTTGCTTTCATTAAGTTATTCAAGCTTCACTCTTTCATCGAAATGGACTTGAAACAGTCTGCTGAACTGTGTTCATATGTTTGTGAAAAAAAATAATTATGAAATATCCATATTGTAAATAATGTCATCTTCAATAAAATAGTACGGCGTCAACTTCAATTTACATTGTAATAACATGTACTGTAACTATTATCATAGGAATCTTACAATTAACTTTTTGGTCATCCTATAGTTCAAACCTTTAAGCCTAGATCAATTTCCGCTTCATCTAATGTTGTCAACGTGATTATTCTTCCATTTTTACTTGTAGATTACATAGTTGTTTTCATTCATATTTCTTATCTCAATTTATAATTGATAATTTTTTATTAAGAAAAAAAAGTTACGAAGGGAAGGATGAGGATTATACATGTTTTTAATAAATGAATTGATTAAATTTTTTATTTAAATCGATTATTTTTATTTATAAAAGGATTGACTTTATGATGGTTTATGTTAATAGTTGCTGCCGCGGCACAAGATCATATTTTTGGAGTTTACCACTACTTATATTTGTTGTAATTAATTCCAGCAGCTATTTTAAGCTTTGCATTTATCACCATTCCTCTAGTTTTCAGTGAAATTCCACGAAGAAACTGATTAAAAGTTAGAATAAATAACAATGTATAAGTTGTCAATTTATAATCGCTTTTTCCTTTAACAAATATTTCACATTCTTAAATAAAATAAATAATAATAATATCATGTAAATGTAGAAATGTATTTTATAAAGTATTTATTAAAAAAGCTTTAAAATCCATCTAATAAATAAATCTAAATCAGTAAATTTTTATATGAAAAAATATTTATATAATCGAATCATTCATTTACCATCAGGAATTTCCAATTCATCCTGTTCTTCTGAATGAAGATTTGAATTATTATATGATTCATTCTCACCATCTATAAAATAAAAAATTAGAATATAAATATATTATTATACATTTAAAATGATTCTACTTACCATCATTTTCAATTTTATACTTCTTTTTATGCGTTGCTTCGTTTTTATAATTATTTTGAAGATCTGTTTAGAACAAATTTCGAATAAATAGCTTTACAATTGGTAAAAAAATTATACTTACTATAATTTGAATTTATTCGTAATCTTTCAGATATTTTGGATAATTTTTTACTACATTCTATTTAATAAATAAAATTTAATGTAATTAATTTTTAATATATATTAAATATTTATGATTTACTTACCTTTATAAAGACCGATTTTTTTGGAGGTTTTATCACATAAATTAGCAATATCATCAACTAAATATGAGAAATAGTTAATCAAATAAAATATTAATTAAAAACCTAAAATATCAATACTTACTATTATCAGGAATATTAAAATCGTATGGTTTACTATGAAATGCTTTTATGATTCAGAAATGTAATAATTTTTTATTAAACCTAGTTAGTCTATAATAAAAAAATCATTAATATTAAAACATAAAAAAATACCTTCTTGCTCTTCTGTTTTTATTAATTAAGAATAGAATTTAAGTTATATATTGTGATAAATCATAAAAATTAATTGATAAAAATTTACCTTCTGTTGCATTCCTTGGCTCAGAAAAATTTTCAAATTTATAAACTTTACTTGAAAATAATTTGTTGCTTTTATAATAAATATTTAGGTTTTTAACATCTGTTTTATCATTTGTATTTTGTTGAAATAAATTAATTTTCTTAAAGAACTTTTTAATAATACTTTTTTTTTCATCTGATTTATAATATAATTTATTCATTCCAGATATATTATTATAAATTGCATTAATATCGGGTCTTTGTGATGGATCAGCATTCCAACATTGTTCCATCAAGTTTTTATATTCTAAAGGAATACCTGACGTTATTTTTGGTCTCATTCCATTTACTATGTTCATTGCGAGGTCATAATCATTTTCATATTCATTAAATGGTGATTTTCCAAAGGAAATTTCCCACATAAGCATTGCAAGACTATAAACATCGGATGCTTTTGTATATTCCTTTCCAGCAATAACTTCAGGAGCTATATAAGGAAGGTTCCCATAGATGCATTTTAATGGCTTATCAGCAGGACCATAAAATCCAAGATCACTAATATACCAAAAATCTTGACTTTGTAAAAATAATATGTTTCCAGAATGCAAATCCCTATGAATCGCATCTTCCCAATGCATTTTGTAAAGTGCTTCGATAATATTAACAGTAATATGCATTTTTTCTTTCCATGTAAGTTGTTGATGATTTAGTAGATATTTTCTTAAATCTGTGTCCATTTTACCCATTACAAGAAAATAATCTTTACCAGATGGATCTTGAGTTAAACCAAAACTTTGAACAATTTCATTCCATTTATTACTAATAGTTAAATGTGATTCCGCCTATATATAATATGAAAATTTATGGTTATACAGTATAATGATTTAACAATTAGAAATAATGATAAAAAAAATATACCTCTTCAAACCAACTTCTATCGGCACTTTCAACATTTTCTAACTTTTTAAGGATCACATCATGCATACCATTTCTTTTTAATTCTCTTTTTTTAACATACCAACTCCGATAATATCCCTCAACCCATTCGGCCGTATAAATTTCAGAACACCCACCTTTAGTCAAATATTCAATATTCCGTAAATTATTGTATGGAATCCATTCAACCACTTTCGATGGAGCAAGAGTTTCAATTTGACATTTCCGTATTAAATTATCAATATTGTCATTTCCTGACGTCCAATTTGAAAATTTTGATTTTAAATGGTTTCGAATGCAATTTTCACAAAATGTCGTTGCTAAACATTCTTGTTTGCAGTGTTCACATGATCTTTTTCTTCCTACATTATAAATAACTTTACTTTGATCATGTGTTTCATTCAATATACTTATTGCTTCTGATTTTTCGTCTTTTGTAAGAGATTGATCAGCAAGAATTATTTTCTTTCTAGATTCATGATTTTTGTCCATATTATCATCAATAACATTATCTGTTAATGCATATGATTTATTTATCGCAGCATAAACTAATTCAAGACGACGAATAGTAGCCATGATATGTATATTTCAAATTAATGCTATTGAAAATAAGTTTCATGGGAAAAGGGGCTGGAACGGAATTTTATTCCAGTGCATGATCGCTGTTGTTATTCTATATTCGGTTGCTACACATCTTCTATGCTGCGGACCAGAATTCTTGCAAAATCTATGCATAAAAAAATATGGAACAATAATAAAGCAAACCAATGGTTACCTACATAAAATAAAGAAATTTTATCGTATATTTATCAATATAAAAAAATACAACAAGCAAGCTATATATGATATGTGTTTTATCTAATATACTTTAATGGTTATGATGATGAAGTATATTCTTATGATTCTTTAAAATTGGTTGCCGAATTAGAGCTAAATCTTAGATTAAATCGTTATATACAAATAAAAATATCAATTATTTAGAATTATATTGTTTTATAATTTTAATTAAAAAATTTCGCATAATGCAAAATTAAGATTAAGAAAATAATCGTGAGTTGATATTACTACTGAAATTATGATCCGTGTCACCTTAAAAAATAAAAAATCTGGATCATTCAAATACGAATTAGGTAAAATACGGATTTTTTTTCGTTTATGAATTAATATAATCTTATTAAAATTGATCCATATTGCAAATGATAAGAAAATTGATGATTTTATTTAAATTCCATTAAATAAAAATTGTTTCTTATCTAAATCCTTATCTAGAGAAAATATTAAATCATTTTAAATTTCAATTTTAGGAGAAAAATGCGCTCCGAAGCCATAACAATAATGTGCAGCTGTAGCTATTTTTCATTTTTCCAATTAAAATACGTTGTTATGAAATTCTTTAGTATTTAAGAATCAAAGGCCAAAATAATCATGCATAATTTTTAATTATAAAATTAGTGAATATCGATGATTATACGAAAAGTTTGTTTTAATCATTTAATATTAAACCTGAATTATTTATTTTTATTTATTTAATTATTTAATTATAGGTTTTGCAATTAAATTTTATAAAGTACTTAAGAAATTTTAAAAAAATTATTTTTATTTTATTGCCTCCTAAAATCATAAAATAATTTCAGACAAATTACTGATAAGCGAAATTTCCAACATTACTAGAAATCTATTTAAGTTGACATAAAATTATATCAAACAAATTATAGATTTAATAATAAAGTATTTATTTGAATTGTAAATATTATTACTAAAAAAATTTCGATTTATAATAAATCAATATTAAAAAATTTTAGATATGAAATATTTTATTCAGAATTTTAATGTAACACAAAATAAATTAGTATTTACGTAAATATAAACAAAATTTTTCTTTGAGAATTTTCCAAGATAAATGTTACACAAATAAGAAGAGCAAGTCACGCTAATTGTTTATTACTTGATTACATTAATTTTCAGATTAAATATGGAACGTATTCTAACAGATGATGAAATATTTTAATAGAGGATTCAGCAAAATTTAATGTAGGTTATGGAAAGTGTATAAATTGCAGTACTGAACAAAGCAGTGTGAGATGGTGTAACGTTTGTGATGTAAAGGTACTTAAAGAAAATTTTGGAAACTGGACAAGTGGTAACCCTATTATTGACAATTTTATTAAATTTAACCAATTAAGCGAAACCGGGAATGTAGAATATCTCGAATATATTGATTTTGAACAATTTGATTTTGTAGAAAATACTAACAAAGGAGGTGCATTTAGCACAATTTCTTTGGAAGGTTCTTCGATGGATTTGGGATAAAGATATCAATAGACACGTAATGGATCAATAGAAGTTGCTTTAAAATACTTAATATTCGTAAAATATAAGTGAGGATATTTGAAGCAAGTAAGTTATAACTTGATTGAACAAATTATGATTAAAACAATTATTAACAATTAAACTTTAAATAATACTTTATAAGTATCATCATTGTTTATATGGTGGAAGTGTTACAAACGTTTTTGGAACAATTTAATCTTTCATAACAGACATGTAATTTGATTTATAATCTTGAGACTTATATTCATACCTTGATGAAACTAAAGGTTACTTATGTTGGAGATATATCATTGAAATTCTTTGGAGGTAAACAACAAATTCATAAAATAGATTAATTCGTGATTGTATAACAATCAGTGCATGTGATCAAAATTTAATAATAAATTGTGGGGTTAATAAATTATAGTAAAAATAAAGATTTTCTAAATCTCCATTTCTTCGCTAATCAACTTTTTATGTTTTCCAAAAAACAAACAATATAACTTCTTGCTACTGGTAATCTCATTCAATCACTTCATTATGGTATATATGCAGTAAATTGGTGGACTTTTATTAATAAAAAAAACTTTAATGAAGAAAAACAAATATGTATACCTTTAAGATTGAATATGAGAGTCCAATTGAAACTTAACAAAACCAAATTTGTTCGTATTGTTAGTGCAGAAGGTGACATAAATCCAGGTTATATTTGTGAATCAGATATAACTTCAAAAATTTACTATCCACCTCAAAAGCTTTAAATAAAGCCTACAATAATCTTTTTAATAATAAAACACAATATTCAGGACCTTCAGTTTTAGGTTTTGATAATGAAAATATTACTCAAGAACTATTATCTGATGTTTTATTTCATCTTTTTAAAATAACAGACAAATTGTCTATTTTAATTATAGAGTTAGGTAATGATATGATTGGGTATCTATCAAGTTTATATATTAATATCAAAAAAGCAAAGTCTTTTTGTACAAAAGATATAAAAAAATATTGTTATATAGAAGTATTTCAAAAGAAAGAAAGGATCGCATATTATCATGATGTTTCACCAACTGAAGTTTGAAAAAAAACTGAAATTCTAAAAAATTATAATGGTAACATTTTATTTGGAATCGAATATTCTGTTACAATTAAAGCATTAAAAAATTATGCAGAATCTTCAGTATGTAATGTAAATGAATAGGAAAATATTAAAGTAATGTCTGAAGCATTTGAAAAGCATTTAACACGAAAAATTTCTGTTGTTGAACTTAATTGGTATAGATTTTTTGTTGAATAAAAAAACAAGAATCGAACATTATAGAATTTATGATACACCTTAAATTGTTATATCCATTGGATTATGATTTTACTGATTGAAAATTACGTACTTGGAGGAAGATGATGAAAAGCGTTAGTTGTACAAATATAATACCCTATAAAAAACAAGAATCAAAAGTAAGTTTTCTTTGAACTAAATGATTTCATTTTACTAAAAAAAACTAACAATAGCTTTATAATAGCCTGTATTTTAGACATATTCTGTGGATTTCAGTAGCGAAAGTACTGTACTTCTATATTTGTTTAATAAATAAAGTCAATAATAAAGAACCTGAATTTATAAAAGAAAATAACCAATTTAAAGAGATAATTGAAAAATTTTGAAAAGTTTTAAATAGACAATTAAAGTTAATAAATATGGATTGGATGGAAAACAACGAGTTCTCTCTATTATTGTGGAAAATCTTAGATATAGGAAAATACAAAAGAACTTGATGGTAAATTTAAATAATTATATTATAAGAAAAATAACTTATTTATTATTTTTAGATTTCGAATGATTTAATTAATACAGCAAAGAAATATCGCTGTGTAAATGAATCAGGATATCCTGCTAAAAATAAGCCAGTTATAAAATGAAATTGCTATCTCTGAAATAAAGGACAGAGAATTTGAAAGTTTTTTTTCTGACAAAGATAATGTAACCATGAGCTCTTATCATGTTGATCCAAAAACCAACCTTCCATTACTACATTTAAAGGACAACAAGAAGCTCTCTGGCAAAAATTTGAAGGAACTTATCCTAATGGAATAAAAAGGACTTCTTTTATGATACGTTTAGTAGGTGGTCACTATGTATATCATAAATATTTGAATGGATTATGTAATATTTGCAATGATTATTGTTATGAAGTATTTGATATATTGATTAATCTGATAAAATTAAATGTAAATCAGAAATTACAGGTATATAGTTTTAAATATTTATATAAATTGTTTTATTTGATAAATTTATTATAAAATTTGTAAATATATATGAAAATTTTCTAATTAAATTTTAGAATACATTAATAAATGAACTTGGGAAGTTACGCCATCATCTAAAATAAGGATTTGAAAATGAACTTATTGTAAATGAAAACGGTACAATATCACATTCAGATATAATTAACCATTGCTTATTATATGTAATTGGAGAATGTACTCAAGAACATAAGATCCGTTATACCATATGCAATCAATTGTTCATACTTATTAAACATTTAGCTGATGTGCTTCCAGAGAATTTACAAACTACAATTGAAGAGTCACGAAATAAGTTATATTATTTTCTTGTTTACCAGGTAAGAAAAGTTTACCTGAATAATCAATTCAAAGCAAAATTATTAGATCTTGATGATGATGGTGCAATTCTGAAATGCGATTATAAAATGAAGATCTTACCTAAAATGTTCGCAAAACAAAAGAGCAATTTTTTGAAAAACGAGAATGGACTCTTCATACGATTTTGGTTTTTACAAAGCATAATGATTTACAGCTGAATGTGTATGCATTTGACCATTGGTATACTGATATCAAATAAGATGCTTGGTTTACTGCATCATTCTTTGATGCTGTTTTTGAAACGTTAGATCCAAAACCAAGGGGATCAAAATTTTCTCTGATAATAGTGGGCATTATCACAATTTGGAATTGATGACCATTATTGCAAATTGGAATCAATAGTATAATATTGATGTTTGTGGGTGGTACTTTCTCGAACCTGGAGAAGTGAAAACTAGTGTTGATTCGCATCATGCACAGGTCAACATCTATATTTCGATTTAGTAAGGGCTTGTTGTTTTTGAATTTTTTCTGCTAAAAATAATTACCTTTTAGATTGCTCATTCAATCAAGTGATATGTAAGAGTTAGTTATAATTTGGATAGTGATGAGAAAATAGAAGATGCTATAAAGAATCTGGATAGGACCTCTGTTGCTAATCTGAAACCAAAACGTAATCACGTACTTGTTAAAATGATATCCGATATTACCAAATTATCATATTTTGAAAGGCCGATCGAAGGATCATTTACCAGCTATATTCAAGCTCAAACTTTACCATATATAGGCGAATGGATACGTTATTCTCCGGCTGACATTTTGAAGTTAAGTGAAGAACCCTTGCATAAGCCAACTCCAGATGTTTCTACCCATACTAAACCAAATTCAATATGGATTTTTCCTATAATTCGAACTAAAGGTATAATAGTAAATATTCTGTTTGTTTATTTAATGTAAGGAACCTAATTTTATTTTTAAATATTGCAGATAGATCAAATAGGATCATCACTTTTGAAAGTACAAGTCGTCCTATAGGTATTCTATTGTAGTATTACTGATACCGTAATACTATAGGAACAAATTATTGAAGACTATAATTATTATAGATGCAAATGAAAATTTCTCATTAGAAAGTGGATGGCACTCAAAAGTAACCATAAATATGATCAACGAGGCACTGGAAAACGTATATCAATGACGGTGAAAGCTTACCTAGAAGTTTTTTTCTTAACGGGGAATGTAAACAAATCTGACCGAATGTCTGCAAAAGACATGGTAATACAGCTAAAAAAAAATAGCCGAAGAAGGGGAAATTCAAGAAAACGAAATCAAAACAGTTGAAGGTTGGATTACAAGGTATTCGGCAAGATTACGTAAAGAAGTAGCCGAATAAAGGGTAATGGACGGATTGCGTGACCAAGAAAGTTGGGTTGGAACTAGTAAAAGACCCGAAAATGGCAGTAAAAATACTCTGCTAAAGAACAAACGGCAGAACAAACAATAATTTTTATTAATTACATCCAAAATTAATAAAATTTTAAATTTTCTATACTTCAAATCTCCGTTTCCTCCATGGTAAATTTTTCGAATAGAAAGCTAAAGCATGTTTTTTTTATTAAATAAGTAAAATTTGGGATGTTTTTTATCGTATTGTCATTTTTTTTAGGTTACATATTATTTTTGTATGACCAATTTCGAGATGATTGCTAACTTATTATATGACGATCGCCCCAAAATAGTCTTATAAAGTTGCATTGATTGTTACACAAATCACGAATTAATATTAAGGTATTGGTTGAAGATGAACAAGATTCATATAGAAATAATATGTTCAATTAATGACGCAATTGTTGGCATTAAATCGTCCAATCGCATCTGATTTGTATGATTTGTTTAGAACTTGGGCAGATTCTATTTGCGACGACCCTGATTTCATAATGTTGAAGAGAAAATAACGTTATATTTAGGAAGAGATAAGCTTCATCATCAAAGAACACATCATGAAGCTTTTTATAAAAGCCGGTCTTTATACTTTCCTTACTCAGCTAATTTATAGTCATTACAATAAATGTAAACTTTTTGAAAGTAAAAAATTTGATAGGTTTATAATGTTGTACACTACGGTATGGTTTATCGAAAAATATAAACCAAACTGCTCGACATCTTTATAGAGTATTCTTAAATTTAGTAAAAATTACTTCATGTCCTTTTAAATATCATCCTATTTTTATTTTTAATTAAATTAATCATATCCATTTTAATGCCTGATTTTTCTATCAACCTTCCTTTTAAATAATATAATTTTACAACTATTAAAATATTTTAGACTTAATAAAAATTATCTAAAATTTCGCTTATAATTACACTAATTTTGATCACGAGATATCATTTACTTGTTACACGAATTCGTAAAACTTAATTCGTCGATTTTTTCACATCAAAATCTTAAAGAATTTTAACGACCTTTTGTTTGCTTTATAATTAAGCTAATATATGATAAAAATTTAAAATAAAGTAAATTGCGGAAATAGTATCATAAGGAATAAAGTTTGGTGCTGCACTCTTTAAAAAATATGAGAGCATGTGATTTAGATATCGATATCATTCAAAATTTTCATATTTTCAGCTTAAGGTCTTAATGAATTATGATAAATGTTACACAATGTATTCTTTTTGGCGTTATGTTTCTAAAAAGTGAAATATTATGTATAAAAAGATTATATTAAAAGTTTCAAAACCATACTATAACAGGTCAGTTGTATACCAAATCACTAATCGCTTTAAAGAATTTTTTATTGAATTAAGTTTTAACCGGAACCGGTTACAGTAAGTCGGAAATTTTTGATGCCGAGTAATTTGCTGGTCGTTGCTAAAAAAAAATTGTATAAAATTAACAGATTATAACATTCGTTTCGCATTTAAAGAATAACACTCTTTCAATTGAATCATTAAAAACTAGGCTTATATTCTTTCAATTTTATTTGTAATTCTCCTATTTTATCAAATGAACAAGAATATTTTTATAACTATCACTAGTTTTACATTAATCCTAAGGTGAATTGAGCCTCGACATCATCATTTTAGAGATTGAAACCGTCTCCTAATTCATCACCCGGGTGACCCGAATGATTAGGTGATGCCATTAAATGATATGTGATATGCGCAACTTAATTCCGATAACAGCTTCTCTTGGAAATCGAAAATAATTGCGATGCGAAGTTTTTGCCAAAGAGCTTTTGAAGAGAAACAGAAACTTCTTCCACTTGAATATAAAATTCAAAAACACATCGAGAAGTTAAATGTCTTAACTACTCGTATTTTTTTTTAAATAGAGTATAATTTTGCATTTTATAGGTTGATAATATTTTTTTTCAAAAATATAAAACGTGGCTCTGCAATATTGGTGATTCAAAAACAACAAAATTATGTCGTTATTTAGTGCGCAACAACCACGATGTGTTAGAATTCCTGGAGTCAACAAACAATCTAAATTTGAATTAATGTACAACCAAAGAACTTTAAAAATAAATACTTTCAAATTTAATACACATTTTTATTACATACATAAATAAAAATTCTTTTACTTTCGGTATTAATATTACGTTAAAATTCGAGTCGAATACGAGTTAAACAATAATCTGATCGGGTCGAACAATAATCGGGTCGAGTCGAATTCGGGTCCTGTAAATATTAACGGGTTCGAATTCTCAAACCCGACCCGACCGGAGCACTATGAATGAATAGGTTTAATAACTATGTAATCAAAAAAAAACTTGGTCGATTAGACTGATTCTAATTTTATTTTAAAAAATTACCTTCGAAGATACTTTATATGATTGGCAATTAAATTTAATTAGCGATGGTGAATTTTATCCTTATGTTTAGGTAAAAGTTTAAATTAAAATTTATTAATAATCTTTGAAATTCTTTAAGAACTTTTACATCATAACTTTACACCACCCCACACTGCTTCGTTCATGTACAATATCTATACATGGCCTGCATTAAAATTTGCCGAATCTTCAGTCAAAATAATGTTCCATATAAAAAAAGTAAAAAGTGTCATTTAGCAAGAATTTATTTGGCGTAGTCGGATATTTTTTGTGACAATAGCTTAAAAAATTAGTCAAATCAAATGATTGTAGCGAACGTGACTTTATTGTTATTAATGAGAAAAAGAAAAGATTTTAAATAACCTTAATTGAGCCAATTTAATCTACCGAGTATTTATAATATTTTACCAGTGCTCTAGCATTTTCAAATAAAAATAATCAAATCGTGACCAATGGAATTAAAAGATGCCCATTCGGAATTTTTTTCACAGAATTGCAAAGGTTAGTAAGAAATGAAGAAACTTATAGTTATATTACCAGAATCAGAAACTTTCTTGAGTGAAATATAAGATTTTGATTTTCGTCATAAAAAATTTTTAATTTAGTTCAAATTCGTTTAAAAATAATTAGACTTATAATTGTCAATCGAGAAATGATGTTTAATCTGGTGAGATTTTTGTGATATACTTTAAGCACTACTGGCAGATCTGGACGATATGTCATTTCGGTCCTTTATGACATCGTTCTTGATAAATTTTGTCTATCCGTCCATCAACCGCGATTAATTGATACTTTTAAGGAAGTTTTTTTTTTCGATAAGATACAATTATGAATATTCTCTTCTCTTAAGGCATGTTACAGAGCGCCAGGCTGAGGCAGTAATAGTTGATTTCTTTGTTTTTTGTTAAAACTTTTAAATTCGTTTATTACTGTATAAACTGAATAAATATATGGATCGACATACGTCCGAATTAGGGTGTCCAGGATGGGTTGGCGTGATGGTACAAAATTCGCGCGTGATTTTATCGCAAAAATCGCGATTATAATTCCGGCTGAAATCAACATAATTTCAGAGTAAAAACCTAGAGGAATCCGTGGATCAAAATTTTGATCATGTGATCGACTAAATCACCCAATCAAATTTGAATGTCGTCAACACAAAATCGTAAAAAAATTGCCAAAATCGTGATAAAATCGTGACCAACAAATCCTGGACACCCTAGTCCGAATTGTGCACTGCACAAAATTAGGAACTAATCAATAATTTTTGTTGTTACACAAAATGTGTGCTGTTTTCTTGATTATACAATAAATTTTATTTCTTCATTTTTTTCATTATTTAAAAGATATGAGCATTAAAATGAATTCTTCAATTTCAGAATCTGTGAGTCAACTATTTTATTCAGTATAGTAGTCCAGATTTTTTCGTTTATCGCCATCATAAGAAATGATAAATTTTACGACTTGTGTAATCGATTTTTGCTGATTAATCAGATTAATCGATTTTTACTTTTAGCATTATTAAAAGTCACGAGTTGAATAGTTTAATAATCAACAACATTTATCACGTGAATATTGAGGCAAAAGATTTTTTCTTCCCATACTGTATAACCAAAAATACCTTTGTTATTATATATTTTTAGCTTAGAATATCAAATTCCTTATCTATTATAGTTACTCTGTGACATAATTATATAACATCGCTTTAGAAATATTTATTACGTGCGTGCGTGAGATTCAATTATTTTTCACTCATTTTCATTTTCATTTATTTTTTATTTTTTATTTTAATTTAATTTTTTTTGTAAAATGTATTATGTCGACTTGTTCAATAGACGTCGAAAGACAGAACCTAAGTTTGTTCATATCTTAAGAGCATGTATAATGATATTATTATTTACTTTCCTTGCTGCATACATTATTTTTTTGATTACAGAAGTGATTAATAGTGTTCCAGCTATACAGATTTCAGTAGAAGATACTACTGAATTACCATTTCCCGGTAAGTTCAATATTTATGTAAATGAATTTTATCGTATATCCTTAAATAATGAAAATGATTATTTCAGACATGGGATTTTACGCCAAGTTTCCATTCAATATAGAGTGTCAATTTCATGATGGTAAGTTTTTTTTTAAAAGAAAATAAATTCTGGACATTAACTTAATTCACTATATAGGAATCGATGAAATGAACGAAATAATAGATAATAGTTGTAACAATTCTTTAACACATCCACAACTATTACGGGATGATCCTTACCCTGGATATTTTGGATATTTTGTAAATAATAAGAATTTAAAGTTTACAAAGATTACAAAGATTGGCAATCAATTTATTGAAATAAAATTATTCGCTAATTCTTATAACGATTTTATTGAATTTTACCTTGTTGATTCTGGTAAATTAATAAATATATTGTTTTCTGTTTAGACTTTTTACTGCAAAATTTATTAAAATATAATATGTATTGTATACATAGAAAATAATCCCTTAAAATTACAAAATGGTAAAGTTGACTTGGAATTAGAGTTTTGAATCGGATATATTTATTAAATCCGGATTAGATACGAATAAAACTGAATACTTTCGTTCTATCCGGATTTAATAAATCCGGTTTATTCGTTACATCCGGATTTATTATATCCGGTTCCTTCGTTTCATCCGGATTTATTATATCCGGTTCCTTCGTTTCATCCGGATTTATTATATCCGGTTTATTCGTTTCATCCGGATTTATTATATCCGGTTTATTCGTTTCATCCGGAATTTTATAATTGATTGAATTGGGTAAATTACAGTATTTGATACAATTTATTTCACATCAACTTCACAAATTTTTTATTTATTTTTGCATAATAATAGGTGGCTTCAAAGAAAGAATAAACTATTCATTTTTTTTTGATTTTTTTCTATAGAAATATTAGTTATAGTTTTTTCCGGTTTATTAATTTCACTTGGAAATAATAAATTTTTTGGATATTTTTTTTATTAATTATAGCAAAATGAAAAACAAAATCGTAAAAAAGCATATTTAAAATAAAGCAAAATGAAAAATAAAATACAACATTAAACAATGCGAATTGAAAATGTAAAATAAAATTAAAATAAAAATAAAGCAAAATGAAAAACAAAATTTTGAAAAGCAGATTTAAAAAAAAATAAAAAATAACATTAAAAAATGCAAATTGAAAATATTTAAAGTAAAAATAAAAAAAAGCAAATTAAAAATATTAAAAAGAAATTAAAAAAAAAAGAAAATTAAAAAATAAAAAATTTAATAAAGCAATTATAAATAAAAAAAGCAAAAAAAAAAATTGATTTCAAAAATTGCGAATTAAACATAAATATTTAAAAATACAAGCAAATTAAAGCAAATTAAAAAATTAAATCCAAAAAATCATCCATTTTACAAATTAACTAATAATAAAAAACAAATGTATTAAAAATAAGAAATTGATTAATAATAATGATATACTGTATATATATACCTTTATTCTCTTCATTATTCATTCTTTCTTATTTACTGCTTTATAAAAAAAATTACCAATTTATTAAAATAATTATAAAAATTATAATTATAATCATAATATTAATATATTTACCACGATCTTCATTTGTGACTTCTTCATACGTTGGAAGTGTATCATTGTATTTTTGATTAATTTCTAAGAATATTAAAAATATTTTAAATTTTAGTAAAAACAAAATAAAAATCATATATATATATTTAAGGGGAATATTATACCTTCGATTTCAATTTTTCTTTTTTTTCTTAAATTTTCAATCCTTTCTTGATTATATTGACTAACTATAAAAAAAAAAAATTAAAAAACTGTTAAAATATAATAAATATTATAAATATCAATTT